TTGCTGTTCTTGCCTTTAAGTTCTTAGCTACAATCACTCTGGGGGATTCCACTGACAAGACTTCTAATTGATATTTCATTGGACAAAAACGCATGGTCTATTATGACAAAGAAGAGTTAACAGCAGGTGAAAACTGGAATCTGCTTTTCCTAGCACATTCAGATAGTTAGTAGGGAGAGGAATTATGTATATGTGCCTGTGTGTCCGTGTGTCAATGTGTGCGTGTGTGCGCATGTGTGTGTGTGTGTGTGTGTGTGTGCGCGTGTGTGTTTGTGTTTGCCTGTAACCTTGTCAGTGTCCACGTGTGTCTTCTGTATGTTTGTGTGTGCATGTGTGTATCCATGTGTGTCTGTGTCCTTGTACGTGTCTGTGTGTGGTGCATGCATGTGTGTTCATGCATGTGTGTGCAAATGTGTGCCTGTGTCCATGTCCATGAGTGTGTGTCTATGTCAGTGTCTGTATGTCTGTGTGTGTGGTGCATGCCTATGCACACTTGTGCAGGCCAGAGCAGAACATCATATCCATCCAGTGTCTTCATCTATTGCTCTCTACCTTATTGCCTTGAGATCGAATTTCTCACCGAACCACAAGTTCTCCATTTTGGCCAGATTGACAGGCTAGTGAGCCAGTTTAAACCTGTCTCCATCCTTTCCAATGTTGGGGTTACATTCACACACAGCTATGTCTGACTTTTTATGCCAGTTCTAGGAATTTGAACTCAGGTTCTCATGTTTGCAGAGAAAGTACTCATACCTGATGCCATGACTCCAACCCCAGGGTAAAGAAATCTTTAAAGTCAGTGCCAGTTTAGAGACGATACCTTGCAGTAATTGAGCATTGTGTTCCTGGATCCCACATATATTATAAAGCAATAGCCTTTATATGATGCTGTGTCTTTGATGTGTAGACTACATGAATTTAAAATCACAGCATGGGGGCAGAGTTTCTCTCACTCTGATGGGGATTTGTACATCCTATTCCCATGAAACTAATCCTTGTCCATCTGGAACTCTAGTTCACAAAAAGAAATGATTTTTTTAGAAGATACAGAGAGGCCCCTTGAACAACCAAGCAGACACAGATGCTGTTTGAGCATTTTGGGCTCATAATTACAGCAATCTAGGAATCAAGGGAGTGAGACAAGGACACAAGTGACCTAGACTAAGAGCCAGTGTTGATGTTACCGGTTGGAGCTAAACAGAAAACATGTGGCATTGGGGTAATTCTGGTCACCAAGTCCTTCTCAAACACAGATGCAACAGTATCCTCTTACTCACAAAACATGGCAACAATCACAAGCACCCCAGAAAATCAATTTCTTCTGTGCCAAAAGGAAGAGAAACAGCTTGTGGTGGTTTGAAAGAAAATGACCCCTAAAGGGAATATCACTATTAGGAAGTGTGTGGCCTTATTGGAGGAAGTGTGTCACTGTAGGGTGATGGGGAATGTACTGTGTATGTTTATCGTATTGATTGTTAAATAAAATACTGTTTGGCCAATGAGACAGCAAGTTAGATGGGACTAGGAGTCAAAGAGGATTCTGGGAAATGTAGTAGAGAAGTGGTGATCCAGGCAGGAAGTGACATAGCAAGGAGACTCATATTTAAAGAAGGAGAAACAGGAAACGTGCCTCTTTTCCCCTCCTCTGCTGCTCCAGCGGCATATATATATATATGATAATTAAGACTGGGCTAGTAGATGAGAATCCTAGTCATTGACCAAGCAGCATTGTACCTAATACAAGTTTCTGTGTATTCATTTGGGCCCTAACTCAGACAGGCGGCTGGCGTAAAGCTCACACGTGGCGGTGGGGCTCAGGCAGCTTTTGGCAGAAAGATTTATCTTAACAGTAGGGGCAGGCTTTGAGGTCGCTTTTCTTAAGCCCCTCAGTCAGTTGACTTTCTGTTGCCTGCAAAATGTAGCTCTCACCACATCTGCCTGCATGCTGCCATGTTCCCCTCATGATGATAATGGACTGAACCTCTGAAACTGTAAGCCGTCACCTCAATTAAATGTTTTCTTTGTAAGAATTGCCATGGTCATGGTGTGTCTTCACAGCAATAGTAATCTGAACTAAGACACAGCTACTAAATGCTGGGGTATAGGACCAACGCACACTCTAACAGAATGTAATAGTTTATACATAGACTCCAATAAGCTGGTATTGTCATCCAGGGTCCTCTAGGGCTCTCTCACAGATGGGTGCTTGTGATAATTTCATGTCAACTTTGCTAGGCTGTAAGGTGCCTATATATTTGGTTAGCAATTTCTGAGTGTGTCTGTGAAGGTTTTCAGAAAAGACATGTTTTGGGCAGTGGACTGGGTAAAGCAGTCAACCCTCTGTGGGAGCTGTGGCTCACCTATTGGTGGTCCAAATTAAACCACCAAAGACTAAGGTGGGCAGATTTTCTCTGCTCTGGGCTGGCGTTGAGATATGTCTTACTTTTTCTGCCTTCAGACTAGAACTGACATTATAGGAAGAGCTGGGTTTTAGGATTTATATGGGCTGAAAGCTTGTATCATTGGTTATCTGGTTCTCAGGCCATCAAACCTAACTGAAACTATACTTTTGTCTTGAAACTCAAGCTTGCAGAAAAGGATTGTGGGATCTCTGAGCACCCGTGCTCATGCACACCCAGTTCCTTATAACAAATGCTAGTTACTATGAAATCTACATGTTTTACTTCACTAGAGAACTTGCCTAGTGTTCAAGGCAATGACTATAGGATCAGCCTAAGTTAAATGTGCATATCATATGTATCTGTGTGTACATATTCATGTCAGTAAACTAGTTCATATGGGTGTACATATGTTCAGGAAGGTGTGCTTAAACGAGCATGACAAGGCCAGAGGTCAACTTTGAGCATCTTTCTTAGGTGCCCTCATCTTTATTCTTTGAAACAGCTTCTCTCACTGAACTCAGAGTTTGTGACTCAACTAAACTGGCTGGACAGTGAGATCCAGGGGTCTGTTTGTCTTTACCTGTCCCCACTTAGAGTAGAGTTACAGATTCAGTCCACCACAACCATTTTTTTGCATGGTGCCAGGGACATGAACTGGGGTCTCATGCTTATGCAGCAATCATATGCTGTCTAGATTTATGTCGTCTTGACAAACCATAGTCATCTGAGAGGAGGAAACCTCCAATGGACCAAAAAATATCTTCAGAAGATTGGCCGTGGGGCAGCCTGTAAAGAATTTTCTTAATTAGTGATTGATGGGAGAAGGCCCACCCCTGGGTTCTATATGAAAGCAGAATGAGAAAGCCATAGGGAACAAGCCAGTAAGAAACTCCCCTTCATAGCCTCTGTATCAGCTCCTGCCTCCACTTTCCTGCTCTGCTTGTGTTCCTGTCCTGACTTCTTCGGGGATGGACAATAATGTGGAAGTAAAGGCCAATAAACCCTTTCCTCCCTAACTTGTTTTTTGATTATGGTGTTTCATCGCAGTAACAGTAACCCTAAGACACAGACCCTTACTGACTAAGCCATCATCCCAGCCTTATACATTTCCCCCTGAGTTTATAGCTTATGCCAGACTCAAACAGAGCCACTTGTTTAGAATAAGCTGGTGATTCTGTGAGGCACGTTCAATAGTTAAATATTTCTTTCCTGATGAGCAATTCCCCTACATGTCTCCACAGGAGGTGGGTGATACAGCCACAATAGGCCTGATGGGTCTAGGCAGAGCCCTTCCTACACGCATAGGAGGTTTCTCAGCAGAATGCAGCCTGTCCAATGATGCTTGCCCCATTGCTGTTTCTTTCTCTTTTTATATGACCTGTCATTCTTCCCAACAGCAGGTGTGCCTTCTGGCAGCAAGGTGACCAAGCACAGAGCGGAGCCTATTAAGTTTCACTTTTGCATCTTCAGCAGGTTTCCTATTGAGACTTGTAGTACTTTAAAAAACCAGTCTTCCTGGGGGAAGGAGGAGGGAACATGAGATAAGGGGATGAATGCGGTGCATGCCAGTTGAATTGCTTCATCCTTTTGATTATTCTATTACTATACAGATGCCTCTTCGGGTGCTCTTATGGACGTTATTGTCATTTCTGCTGTTTAGAAAAAGGTAACAAAACCTGCAGGTTTGGAATAAAAGCTTCTATTTTACATGTTCAAATAATAAAAGGCAGAGAGTTTTACATGAGGCAAGAGCTCAGACTCCTAAGATGTACCTTAAGCTTGCCTTGAAGGAACAGATTGGAAAGCTGAGATTGGCAGCTACAAACTTCCTCCAGGTTGGCTGTTGATAAAGCCCCAATCACTGTCCACTTTCAACTTCCATGCAGCCCGGGACCACTGAACACATATTTCCAAGTAATGCAGTCTGGGGACTTGATGCGGCTTCCTCTGTCTGGTTAATTGGTCTTAGGTAAAATAATGGCAAAGCTGTGAGATGTGCCTGATTCAATCATTCATTCCTACAGAGAGCTTGCTAAAGTCACTCCCCCTGTGCACATTCCCTTTCAGAATGACTTTGATTTTGGAAATATGACTTTTACAGCATTATCTTATAGCATGGTGCCTTGTTGGCTCCCTCAGCATGAGGGTTACTATCGCTTTTCCCTGAGAGGAACACACATACACACACATGCACACACACACACACTCGATGGGGGAAGTGCTTCTGTGCATGTG